GGGTTTGGGCTTGAGGTTTTGGGGCTGAGGGTTTTTGGTAACCCTAAACCCTAAACCCTAAACCCTAAACCCCTAAACCCTAAACCCTAAACCCTAAAATGGGTCCCCCTGAACCCTGCCCCCTTGAACCGCTGTGCTGGCATTCCTTGAGATGCCCAGGATCGGCCCGCAGCTGCTGCACCAACCTGGGTTGGGGTTGAAGGTGTTAGGGTTTAGGGTTTAGGGTTTAGGGTTTAGGGTTTAGGGTTTAGGGTTTAGGGTTTAGGGTTTAGGGTTTAGGGTTTAGGGTTTAGGGTTTAGGTTCTAGGGTCCAGGGTCCAGGGTTTAGGTGTCTCAGGGACTTTGGGTAGGAGCTCACAGCTTACGTGATTAATTGTTCGGGCTTGAGGCCTGGAGAGTTTTGGGGCTCAGGTTGTACGTTTCAGGGGCTTCGGGTGCTGTAGGGGATTCATGTATCAGCGCAGACCCCTTAGGGCGTACATACCGAAGCTTGAACCCTAAACCACGAAGCCGAAACACCAGACCATCCACACCCTAGAAACCGATGCCCCCGTGACCTCAGAGATACCCTACAAACCCTAAGCCAAAACCCTCAAACCATAAGCCCCAAACCCTGAACCCTGAGGCTTAGGTGCTGGCTTCCGTGAGATCCCCTATTCTCGAACCCGCCCCTCGAGCATCCAGGGATCTGAGTATGGGAGCTTCCGAAACTAAGGGGTACCTTATTTTGGGGTCCCCTATAATAGGGATCCTACTATTCAGGGTACTATAGTGGGGTCCCCTTTTTTTCAGAAACCCCCATATGGCAATGCAATATGCCTCCGCCCTGATAGAGTGCCATGCCCCCCTTCTTCAGTCGGGTGTCTACATGGGAGTTTCCGAAAATAAGGGGTACCGTATTTTGGGGTCCTTATAATAAGGATCCTAGTATTTAGGGTACTATATTGGGGTCCCCTATTTTCGGAAACCCCCACATTAAGGCTTGTCGCCCAGAACTTAGAGGTTGACATGTCAACGTAGAGTTTGATCCCTACACGCTGAACCCTCAACCTCAAACCCTTAAGCCTAAGCCCAAAACTCTAGACGCTGAACCCACACCCTAAACCCTAAACCACAAACCACAAGGCGGAAGTTTAACAGCCAACTCAGAAGGCAGACGGGCAACGACCATTCAAGCGCCGGTGTGTCGATGTCGAGCTTGAAAGAGCAGAAGTCATCCTGGGCAAGGTTTTAGGTTTTGGGTTTAGGGGCCTTGGGTCTATGAGGCTAAGGGTTCAGGGGTTTAGGATTTAGGGTTTAGG